GTCTCGGAGCAGTTGCAGTAGAGTCTCAATAGCGAGCATGAGCGGCCATTTGTCCACATTGGTACCAATGACATAGCGAGGAAAATGGATGAGGTCCTGCAGAGTGAATATAAGGAGTTAGGCAGGAGGTTAAAAAGCAGGACCTCAAGGTTAGTAATCTCTGGATTACTCCCAGTGCCATGTGCTAATGAGAGTAGGAATAGGAGGAAAGGGCAGATGAATGTGTGGCTGAGGAGCTGGTGCGGGGGGCAGGGATTCAGATTGTTGGATCGTTGGGATCTCGGATAGAAGTGACCTGATCAAGTGGAACGGGTTGTGTCTGAACTGAACCCCCCTTATAGGGGTATTTACTAGAGCTGCTCAAGACGGTTTAAACTAGCCTAGCAGCATGGTGTGACCTTAAGCAGTAGTGAGACAAAAGGGAAGGTTGAGGCTAATACAGAGGTTAGAGAGAGTAAGTTAAGAAGACAAGGCAGGCAAGAGCGTGGCAGGGAACAAGGGAAGTCTGATGAATTAAACTGCATTTATTTCAATGCAAGAGGCCTGAAAGGTAAGGCAGATGAACTCAGGGCATGGATGGGAACATGGGACTGGGATATCACGCCTAGGACAAAAACGTTGCTGAGGGCGGGACAGGACTGGCAACTCAATGTTCCGGGGCACAGATGCTATAAGAAAGATAGAAGGAGAGGCAAGAGAGGAGGGGAATGGTGTTTTTTGATTAGGGAAGACACCATGGCAGTACTTAGGATATTTCTGAGGGATTGTCCAGTGAAGCTGTGTGGTAGAACCGAGAAATAGGAAGAGGGTCAGTTTTAAAATAGTTCTGGAAGAGGATTGTTGTGGTCCACAAGTTAAAGTTGTAAACTGGGGCAAGGTTAATTTTGATGGTATTAGACAGGAACTTTCAAAAGTTGCTTTGGGGAGGTTGTTCGCAGGTATGCAGGATGCCCGACAATTGGAAGGCTTTCAAAAGTGAGGTAACAAGAGTTCAGGGCCAACATGTTCCTGCTAGTGTGAAGGGCAGGGCTGGCAGGAGTAGGGAACACTGCATGACTGGAGATATTGAGGCTCTGGTCAAGAAAAAGGAGGAGGCATATGTCAAGTGAATCCCTTGAGTATAGGGGTGTAGAAGTGCAATTAGGAGGGCAAAAGGGGGACAGAAGATAACTTTGGCAGGTAGGATAAAGGAGAATCCAAAGACATTCTGCAAGTATATGGAGGGCATAAGAGTAATTAGGGAGAGAAAAGGGCCACTTAAAGATCAACAAAGCCATCTATGTGGAACCACACAAGACGGGTGAGATCCTAAACAAATACTTTTCATCAGTATTTACCATGGAGAAAGACATGGAAACTAGGGAACTTGGGGAAATAAATAGTGATGTCTTGAAAAGAGTCTAGATTACAGAAGAGGAGGTGCTGGAGGTCTTAAAACACATAAAGGTAGATAAATCCCTGGGACCTGATCAAGTATATCCCAGGACATTGTGGGAAGCCAGGGCAGAAATTGCAGGGCCCCTAGCAGAGATATTTGCGTCATCAATATTCACAGGTGAGGTGCCAGAAGATTGGAGGGTGGCTAATGTTGTGCCATTATTTAAGGAAGGCTGCAAGGAAAAGCCAGGGAACTACAGACCAGTGAGCCAATCATCAGCGGTGGGTAAGTTGTTGGGGGGAATACTGAGAGACGGGATCTACGTGTATTTGGAAAGGCAAGAACTGATTAGGGATAGCCAGCATGGCTTGGTGCATGGGAAATCGTCCCAAGTCTCAGAAATTTGAATGAGTTTTTGTTTGAAGGGGTGACCAAGAAGGTAGAAGAAAGCAGAGTGTCTTGTCTACATGAACTTTAGCAAGGCCTTCAGCAAAGGTCTGCGTGCTGGGCTTGTTTGTAAGGTTATATCAAATGGATATAGGGAGAGCTAGCCAATTGGATATGAAATTGGCTTGACGGTAGGAGATAGAGGGTTGTTGTTCAGACTGGAGGCCTATGACTACAGGTGTACCACAAGGATCAGTGCTGGATGTACTGTTGCTTGTCATTTATATAAACAATTTGGATGAGAACATAGGCATTGTTAGTAAGTTTATGGATGACACCAAAAATGGTGATGTAGCGGACAACAAAGAAGATTATCTAAGAGTACAAAAGGATCTTGACCAACTGGACCAGTGGGCTGAGGAATGCCAGATGGAGTTTAATTCATATAAATGCAAGGTGTTGCATTTTTGGTAACACAAACCAGGGCAGGACTTACACAGTTAATGGTAGGGCCCTGAGGAGTATTGTCAAACAGAGAGACCTAGGGGTGCAGGTACGTAGTTCCTTGAAAGTGCATCGCAGGTATACAGGGTAGTAAAGAAGGTGTTTGGCACGTTTGTCTTCATCAGTCAGAGCATTGAGTACAGGAGTTGGGACATCATGTTATGGCTGTACAAACACTAGTATGGCCACATTTGGAGTACTACGTACAATTGCGGTCACCCTGCGTAGGGAGGATGTTATTAAACTGGAAAGGGTGCAGAAAAGATTTTTTCGGATATTACTAAGACTGAAAGGTTCGAGTTATAAGGAGAGAGCTGGATAGACCGGGATCTTTTTTTTCCCGAGAGTGTGGGAGGCAGAGTGGTGACCTTATAGAGATTTATAAAATCATGAGGGGCATGGATAGGTGAATAGCAATGGTTTTTAACCCTGGTAGGGGAGTCCAAAACTAGAGGGCCCAGGTTTAAGGTGAGTGAGAAAAGATTTTAAAAAGTACCTGAGGGGCAGCATTTTCACACAGAGGGTGGTGCATATCAGGAATGAGCTGCCAGAGAAAGTGGTAGAGGTGGGTATAATTACACACTTAAAAGACATTTGGACAAGTATATGGGCAGGAAAGGTTTAGAGCGATATGGGCCAAAGACAGGTAAATGGGACAAGTTCAATTTAGCAAACCTGGTTCACATGAACGAGTTGGGCCAAAGTGTCTGTTTCCATACTGTATGACTGCAACTCTATAAACCTAATCAACTCAACAATCTAACTAGAATTGCTGTTTTGACACAAGTGAGAAAGTAATATTGCAGGCATGATTTGAAAATTAAGAAGCGAATGAATCCTGCTTGTTTAGGTTAAATACAATGTAAGGAGCTTTTCCAATCACCTCCTCGAGATTTGTCATATAGCAAAAATTGCGTGAACACACAAAGTTATGGACTGCGCACCTGTAATATTAACTCCTGACAGACATGGTATATGTAATCTGCTAAGAAACTAAGCTGTACAATGTTGCCTTGTCAGAGACGGGGATGGTGGGGGAGCTTTGCGTGTTCTAGACTGTTTTGGAGTGTTCATTTTGAATACGTTTTGATGCAATAACATTATTGTTGGTAGTCTATTTATGTTACTGAATCACAGGACAATTACAAAGAAGGAACCCATTCAGGCAATTGAGCCCAGGATGGCTGTCAGTAACAACTCAGCTGTTCAACTTCACTGATAGCTGGATCAAGGCATAAGGGAGGCTCTGAGCTGGGGTAGGCTTGATTGTAGTGCCAGGAGATGCCGGCGCATTTCTGAAGAAGGGTCTAGGCCCGAAACGACCGCCTTCCTGCTCCTCTGATGCTGCTTGGCCTGCTGTGTTCATCCAGCTCTACACCTTGTTATCTTTGTTCACCTTCACTGCCTTTTTCAAGCAGCTCTGCAAACATTTCTTTTCAGACCATTTTAGAAGGACACAATTGAATCAGTTTCCAACACACTTTCAGAAAGTGAATTCCAGGATATTGATCACTTGTGGTGTAAAAAAACGATTTTTCCGGTTCCTTTTCATTTATTTGTTATTCACTTTAAATCTCGTTCTCGACACATACACCAATGGGAACAGTTTCCCCCTATTGACTCTGTCTTCATGATTTTGAAAACTCCCGTCAAATCTCCTGTAAATCTTCTGTTCAAAATGGATCACCCCAGCTTCCCCAATCTATCCTCGTAACTGAAGTCCCTCAGCTCTGGATTATTAATGCACTTTGAGTTATTAATTTCTATTATCTGAATTCCTAAACAAAACAAATGCGAGCATCTAGTTTCCCCAGAAGCTTACATGCCTTAAATATGATTCATGTACAGTTCAGGAGAAAAGGAAATAAGCATGCATCTAAGTGCATGCTTAACATTCATAACGTGTAGCAAACTGCTTCACAGTCAACAGATTACTTTTGAAATGTAATCAGATATGCAACTGAACACAACAGCAGATTTAACTTAGGTAAGTTCCACAAACTGTGTAGTGAGAATAATGATCAGTTATTTTGTTGTTTTTTTGTGTGATGTTTGTTGAAGAATAAATCCTGGCCAGTAAGCTATACGAATCTCTTGCTTTTCAACAAGTACCACAGATTTCTGCACATCCCAATAAATAGGTGAATAGTATGTTGGTGTAACATCTTGATTGAAAGGTGACATTATTGCAATTCTAACTCTGTACTGAACTGAGGCTGAAATCCAGCTTTCAGATATAATAGGCCATGTGACTGCCATAAGTACCTATTGGCCCCTGTTTTTAAACATTACTTCTTCTTCTGTCATTGCTAAGAATGTTAGCGTTTCCAGTCTATCCAATGTTTCCCTGAGAGACATTGCAGAATATTTATTATTTTTTGGGTTTATTACAATTGAATGGCTTGCTCAGCTATGTCAGAGGGCAAAAATGAATCACCTCATATTGGTTTTGAAGCTTTCTGGTCACTTAATTGCCTATCCGCTGGTTTCCAAAACTACTTTATTGATTAAACTTGCTATGAATCTTTGCAAATTGTTGAATGACTTGTCTTTTTGGGACTTAGTGAGGGTATGAACGCAAAAAAGAAACACTTGCATCAATGCAGTTAGTGATTTTCATAACCTCAGGATATCTGATGAAATGATGGCCTGAATGGTCAACTTCTGTAGGATAATTCTAAGCATCATCCTCCACTAATTACTGCTCATATGCTTATTCTTTTATTGATAGCCAAAGGGGTTCCGTCGTTACTATAGCTCTCCGTTATTAATCCATGAACAATATGGGTGCATCAAAGAGGTGATGCCTATCGGTAAGTACCATTCTTCCCAGTATTGAGGCCAGGGTGTGTATTGTGAATTTGTGAGACTGATAACCTTCAGCTCCCTTGTCACTTTCAGTTTACTTTCTGTTCCAGCTTGTGGCAGTAAAATAGACCCGGTATATGAAGCCCTTCGGTTTGGAACTTCCCTGGCTCAAAGAACCAAGAAGTCAGGGTCTGGCAGTGCATCGGACTCCCCTCAGCGTAACTCTGTAAGTAATCCTTCTCAGCCACCATGTACCTTCGCTAACTCCAGTTGACTCAGTCCTCCCTTTTCATATGCTATCTAGGCTAAAAATAGATCCTTGTTCCTGTTTATAATTTCCCTGTTAACAGTAGAACTGATACAGTCGCAAAAAAGAGATGATTTTTGGAATGCATTTGTCTGGTAGTGCACTTTGCTCAGAAGTCATTAAAATACCCTGATACATAGTTGGCAGTTAAGGTTCTCTGTCAGAAACTCCGATCTAGAAAGCACATAATCTTAAAAGTTTTCTTTTTAATTTAATTTTTTCACTGCAAGATTGCCCAGGCTAAATTATGTTATACAGCTCGTATTTGCTTATGGTGGTAGAATAAAGAAGGCTGTGGATGCAGCATCATGGTGGTAGTATAAACAGGATTGTTCAATTAGGCAGGCAGCAACAACTGAAATTCAAATCAAATATATAGCACATTGGTTAAGAAAGACACCCAGTGATTGAAAATGATTCATGGTTATGGAATCAAGAATAGTTACAACACAGAAGGGGACACTTCAGCCCTTGATGCCTTTTCCAGCTCTCTGCAGGACCAACATAGCCTTATCCAATGCCTCCACCACTCAATCAGGCTCTGCAATCCCGAATCCTGGCCAGATGCTGCACAAAAATGTATCTTCTCACGCTGCCTTTCGCGTTTTTTAGCCGTTCACCTTAATTCGGTGTCCTCTGATTCTCAACCCCTCTGCCAATGGGCACAAGTTTCTCACAATCTGCTCTGTCTAGATCCCTCATGATTTGAATATATCTTACCAAATCTCCCTCCCTTCTTTTAAGGAGATGAGCTTGTCTTCTTCAATTTAACTACGTAACCTGTTTAACAGCCTTGGTGTAAGCATGGGCAAAACTACTGAAGTCGGGACATCAATTTGAATCAAATTGGCATCGAAGCCCTGGCAAAACATCAGTTAATGATAATCGGGGAATAGCTGCTGATTGGTGTCATACCTAATACGCAGGAAGCTGATTGTAGGAGGTGAAATCATCTCATTCCCAGGACATTGCTACAGAAGTTTTTCAGGGTAGTGTCCTAGGCCTAACCAACATCAGCTAATTTATCCATGACTTCTTCATCATTCAGTCAAATGTAGGCATGTATGCTGATTATTAGAGTGTTCAGTGCCATTCAAAACTTCTCCTCCTCTTGAATATAGAAGTAAATGACTTATTGCGTTGTGTAGGGCCTCGGTAAGACCTAACATGTGGAATTGTGTACAGTTTTGGTCAGTATAGGTATTTTTAAACAATGTGTTCAGACATGTTTTGGTACACATGTGGAGCAGGTGGGACTTGAACCCAGGCCTTCTGGTTCAAAGGTAGGATCACTAAACCACAAGTGGCCCTTCCTAAGGAAGGATATACTTGTTGTAGAGGGATTGTACAGAGGTCCACCAGATCAATCTCTGGATGGCTGATTTTCTAATAAAGGAAAGATCAAGGGAACTGTATCCTTTAGTGTTTTAAAGTGTGGGAGGTGATTTAACTGAAACTTACAAAATTCTTACAAGATCTGACAGGGTAGATTTATATAAAATATTGTTGTGGGTGGTCAGTCTAAAATCAGGGATCATAATCTCGGGATAAGGGGCAGGTTATTTAATACTGAGAGGAGGAGGTATTTCTTTACTCAGAGGGTGGTGAGCCTTTGAAATTCTGTACTTCAAAGTCTGTCATTGAGCATGTTCAAGACAGAAATCAATTGATAGATGGAAATCAATTTCTTCAAAATCGCTGGTCAAAATCCAGGAATTCCATCCCTAATGGTACAGTAGACAGACTGGAATCGTTCAAGAAGGCGTCTCATTGCCACCTTCTCAAATGCAACTAAGGATGGGCAATAAATGCTGGCCTAGCCAGTGATGCCCCCATCCCATGATTAAATACAAAAAGATTTCTGGAGGCTAATGACATCAGGGGATACTCACAATGTGGGAAAGTGGCATTGAGGGAGATATTCTACCATGATCTACGTAAATGGTGAAGGAGGCTCGAGTGGCTGAACGGCCTATTGCTGTTCTCGTGTTTCTAACAAAAATTATGTAAGTGACTAGCAAAGTAAGGCCTGATGTATTTGTACAAAATGCCTATTGATTAACTGTATTATCTATTCAATCATTCAATCAGTCTTTGCTTTACTCTGGTTACCTGTTCATTTCATATCATTTGGAGTGGCACGGTCACTCAATGGTTAGCACTGCTGCATCACAGCACCAGGAGTCCAGGTTCAATTCCAGCCTTAGGCAACTGACCGTTTGGAGTTTGCATGTTATCCCTGTATCTGCGTGGGTTTCCTCCCGTAGTCCAAGGGTTAGATGGATTGGCCATGCTCAATTGCCCACAATGTTCAGGGATGTGCAGGCTAGGTGGATTAGCTAATTAGAATTGCAGGGTTACAGAGCTAGAGTAGGGGGATGGCTCTGGGTGAGATGCACTTCAGATGGTTGGTGCAGACTCGATGGGCCAAATGGCCTGCTTTCATATGGTAGAGATTCTAATTGAAATATATTCTTGCCCCTTTATCTGACTGTTGGCACAGGTGCAATTCCAGTTTTCTCTACGTTGATTTCACATTTCTTGATTTTGTTTTAAACTAACATTATACTGGAGTTGTTGAAACCTCATCAATATGACCGGTCTTAATTTCCGTTCGTGAGACAGTTCTCTTCCTTTTTGTCTCAGGCTTCAGACCTGGCTGAAGTCCCAGAGGAAGGTGCTGATGCTTCACGTGGGCTATCAAGAGAGTATAGTGATAGTGGTAAGCATGAAACTAAATCTGCATTTCAACTTTTTGTGTTGGAATCACTGAGACCTGAAGCTTTCGTGTCTGAACAATCTACTCTTCAAAATGTGCTTCTGCTCCATTATCAGAATTTTGCTACAAAATTTTAAGCAACATCTGATTAATGCCTGTAATTGAACAAGATACATGAACATGGTTCTTTGTAACTTATCAGTTTTCACATTGTATTTATTGTTCTGTTTCACAGTTGGCTTTTTAAGCATTGTAAATGATTCATGTTGAAATCCATCCTTTTACAAATTAATGAGACGTGAAGTACAATGTTACATGCAGAGCAGAAAATGAAACCAGGGCATGAGTGATTTTTGGTTATCAGCAATAATGACATTTTCCTTTTCTTTTGTAGTCTTTGGCTCTCTAGAGAATGGGCTTGAAAACATCACAAGGGTAGAAAGGAAGCCTTCCAGTTCTCGGGTAAGAACCTGACAATCCTGATAAGACCATCTTGGAACCCATTTAACGATGCAACAGCTCTAACCACAAAGGCCATGGAAGAGGAGCTGGCATTGACTGCACTTAGGAGTGGAGTGGAAACCTGGGGTAGGGGAGACTAACGTTTCCTTTCAGTGTAAAGACATAAAGCTCAAATACTTAAATCAGCTGATCTCCTGAATCCGTACTTGGGACTGTTTCCTTTTTGATTCTGGATTTCCTTGACAAGACTGGCATCATTTCAGCAGGGAAAGTAGTTCTGAGGTTTCTTTAGATAAGAGGATCCCAGTTTCTGTATCTTTGATGTTCTTGCCTACCTGCATGAAATACATCTTTTTAAGTGGCATGGTATTTTTCTGTTGCAGGTTTCTGTGAGTGCCATAATTTAATTCAATTTTTACCCAAATATCCCACACACAAAGCAGTAGGGGGACAAAGACAGGTGAATGAACTTGGAGAAGGGTTGACCAACTACAATAAAGTTTGTAAATCATCATTAAGCCCTCTTGAAATGTAAAATGCCCCATTCATTAAGCCACAAAGACTGTGTATCGTAATTGTTGACTTTTTAATATCAGCACTGATGCCGATCTTAAGTAACAAAAGCTTCCTCAGCTGAAGGATAAGAATCCCCATCCTACAAGGCAGAAGAAAAATGCTCATCCACTTAGTTGAGACATATTTATCGCACATGCAAATTTCTATATTTAAAAGGGCAACAGTTGGCAAAATATAGTAAATAATAAAAAATACCTTGTAATTGACTCCCAGTGTCCCATTGAGCCAGTAGCTTATAAGTGCCTTCAGGTATAGCTTGTCCCTTAAGCCCATTAATGTTAAGATTGTTGAGATGCCACTTAGCATCAGAATAATGCATTACTTTTCTGTTCTTATAATAGTACAGGAGAAGAGCAGTTTTGTTTGCCTTCAGGCATACATATTAAGATGACAATGTAGTTGTTAATGAATCCTAGCATTCGACCTCAATCAGTTGAGCTGTACCAAATCTAGATAAAAGGACTGACTTTTCTTGATCTTGCGGAACTGGTTTGGAGGCAGGAATTGGAGGCTTTTCACATCTAATGACACATGTGACAGCCAAAACATGTGCTTCTATCTGTTTCTGTAGCTAGTTAATCAACCAGCAGGTGACTTATAAGCTTGAGCAGCAGAAACTAACCTCCGAGCAGCAGTAGATAGATAGATACTTTTGCCCACTAATAGACCAGTTAAGCCAAAGGTAATGGTGGTTTCGAGTCTTAGCAATGGCTGATGGCATTCCAGTCAATGATAGAACCCAGAATTGAACTGGAGGCAGCCTCTTGACTGTAGATCAGGGACCCAGCAGAGATGTCACAGTGTGGAGCTGGAGGAACACAGCAGGCCAGGGTCAACTTTCCTGCTCCACTGCCTGGCCTGCTGTGCTCCTCCAGCTCCACACTGTGTTATCTCTGACTCCAGCATCGACAGTTCTTACTATCTCTGACCCAGCAGAGATGTGATGGAGGCAGCTACAGGCCATTTTGTGGGAGAGTTCCTCCTCTACAATGGTGCTCTGACAGCCATGCATGAGATTTTATCTTTCACAATGCTACAGTCTCTGCCTGCCCCATCAAATACCTTCTTTCCCACTGGGTTGCTGGTCAGACATGCCCTTGGTTGTACCTCACACTTCCCTGACCGTCTACTAGATTTAATTGGAAGGAGTTTCCTGAGGTGGCTTTTCAGTTGGCACCTCTGGGAAGATTACAACTGATAGCCTGAATTCCAGGTTGGAAATGAAGAAATGGCTGTGGCAGGCTAACATTGGCATTCCAATCCAACCAGGAAAATCTGTACCATGGCAGGCAAAAACAACATATAAAAATGTTGCATCTTCCCTTTTACAATGATACTGCATCTAAATATTAGGAAGGCGTAAAGAAAATAAAACATTTAAATTTTTTAAAATATTTGCTCTAAGTCATGTTTCTCCTAATGCAGACATGCAGCCTTTGCGTAAGCACACACAGCTTTCATTTGAATTCAACTCCGTCTTGGACTCAGCTGTGCTGGTATACATTGTCCCGGTAGCAGAATTAACTCCACAGAGGCCAGTATCCCTTACTAAGTCAGGCAGCATCAGAGGACCAGCAAAGTTGACATTTCGGGTCAGGACCCTTCTTCAGAAATTTCTGACATTTCTGACATTTCTGAAGAAGAGTCCTAAGCCGAAATGTCAACTTTCCTGTTCCTCTGATGCTGCCTAGCCTGCTGTGTTCCTCCAGCTCCACACTGTTGTCTCTGACTCCAGCATTGGCAGTTCTTACTATTCCTTACAAGGTCACCCTTTATTTACACGTGGAAAGTCCTTGACACTGATCCAGCTCTCAGTGAACAGGATGTCTAACACTCCTATTCTTATCTGTCAGCCAGGGCTCCCTGATTGGGGCTGTTAATCTGGTCCAATCGGGGAACTTATATTCTCTGAAGTCTATCTGGCTGACATTGTTCTTATCACTACATCCTTCCCCCTCTGAGTCTGAGGACATAAGCCAGTTCTTTTTTTTTATAGTTCCTCCTGGGGTGTTTTAGCAGCGGGCCAGGTTCCTCCAACTTTGCCTCTGCTACAGGCAGCATCTAACACACAGTAACTCGCCTCTCACGCCCGGAGCATCTCCGAAGAAATTAATTCTCTTCTTCAGGTTACAAAGGCATCGAGGTACAAAGGCAACATCTGCCATATCGATTTCAGATTCCGAGGTATCTCCTGCACTTGATGGAGAGCCCACATGTTCCAGAACAGTCGGAAAAGCTATCGAGGAGCTGGGCACGTTTGGCACCTGCACAGTTTGCGGGTTTGCAGCTTTCATATGGTCCATGTGCTTGTTCAGAATCATCGCACCTACCCAAACTTTGTAATTCACCGGACCTGACCTCGTATCGACCTCGCTTCTTACCCATGCTGGGACAATCCCGTGGTTCCTGCACTAAACTTCATCCCCTGAAGTAAACTGTCTGTCTCACTTAGCCATATCTTGTAGCTGGCATTGGCGTTCCTGATGCTGTTTCACCCTCAGGTCTGGGAAGATCGGATTTAATGTGGTGCGGAGTCTTCTCCCCATCAGCAACACTGCTGGAGCTATCCCTGTAGTTGCATGAGGGGTGGTCCTATAATCAATTAGGAATTTGGTATCTGGTGAAGCTGTAGGCTGTTTCTTTAAGCCTGCCTTCAAATTTTGGACTGCTCTTTCTGCCAGATCATTGGATGATAGATGGTATGGAGCTCAATACTCAAATTTCCTGCTGGTAAACAATGGCCTGTTACTTGTGACCAACAATTCCAGGAGTCAGCGTATTGCAAAAGGTGGCTGCACTTCTTCTATCATCCTCTCCATGTTTGACAAATGAACTCTAAACATGTCCAGCCACTTTCAGTGGGCATCCACAATGACTAAGAACATTGAGTCTATGAAAGGATCTGCATAGTTGATGTGTAATTGAGTTGAGGGTTTATCCGCCCATTCCCATGAATGTGGGGGAGCTGCTAGAGGTAATTTCTGTCCTTAGTGCTCTGGGCACAGCCCCACCAACACGGCTATGTCTGCATCCACTGCTGGCCACCAGACATAACGTCTCACCAACATTTTCATTTTAGAAACCCCCTGGATGACCTAGTGGAGTTCAGCCAGTATCTGATAGCAACCTTTGCTTGGGACAATCACTTTTGGTCCCCATAATAATATGCCGTCCTGCACTGTGATCTGGTCTCTCTGGGTCCAAAGTGGTTTCAGTTCTGGTTGTGATGGTCCTTTGGTTTCCCCCATCACCACTAGCTGGTTCAGTTTTGCCAGGACCAGATCTTTCTGTATCCACAGTCTGATATTGTCAGCTGTGACTGGAAGTGTGCCCAGAAAATTTAAAACCATGACGGACTCTTCCAATGGCAGTACACTTCCAGCGTACCTGCCAGCAGGCGGTGGCTCAATGTATCCGCAATTGCCACTTGGCCTCCCGGATGGTGTGCCAACTTGTATGTACTTAGTATTAAAGCCCACCACTGAATTTGGCCTGAAGTTATGGGTGGCACTGCCTTATTATCTTTAAGCATATCTAGCCAGGTCTGTGGTCTGTTATTATTGCAAATGTACATTTATAAAGGTATCGGTGGAACTTCCTGACTCCAAATATGACCACTAAATCTCCTTCTCTATCTGGGCATATGCTTTAGCCAAAGTTCTGGTTGTGTATGTTATTGGGCGTTCCTCTCCATTGGGCCACCAATGAGCTGATACTACCCAAGACCATACAGGGAGGCATTGCATGTCACTACCAGATCTCACATGGGATCACAGTGTGCCAACACCTTAGAGGGTGATAGCTGTTTCTTCACTTCCCTGAAAGCTATGGCTTGGCTATGCGACCCTTTCCAAGGCTGACCCTTTCAGAGTTGATACAACGGTGCCAGGATGTAGGCCAGGTTATGTATGAACTTTCCATAATAATTCACCAGCCCAAGGAAAGACCTAAGCTCCAATACAGACATGGGAGCCAGGACAACTTTGCTCGCGCTCACTTTATCTTCCAACAGGTGCAACCCGGTCTTGTCAACTCTGTAACCCAAGTAGGTCACTTGGGTTTCTGGAACACCTATTCTAAGGCATACACCCACCTGGGAGAAACAAGTTATCTAAGTGCTCCTTATTGGTCTTTCCTGTTATTAGCACGTCATCTAAATAAATGAGGACCTGGGGTAGACCTTCTCAAATGTTTTCCATCACCTGCTGAAAATTTGCATAGGCTGATGATACCCCAAATGGTGGTCTCTTATATTAGTACAAACCGTATGGGTATTAATTGTAGCAAACTCTGGGAACCCTCATCTAACTGCAATTGCACGTATGTATGCCTCATGTCCAGCTTCATGAAGGATAGTGCCCCTGCCAGCTTTGTTTATAAATCCTCAATGCGAGGGTTTGGTATTTATCCAGCTGCGAAAAGTG